ACCCTGGAGTCATCTGTCCACAACCATGCCTGCTTTTCAACGTTCATCATCGACGTTACGTGTCCCATAACCGAAACCACCATGACAACTGTAACCGTCTTTCGTTGCGCCCACGTGCCCGTTAAGGTCACCAGCGACAATTACGACGTCCTCTGACGGTACCTCAGCTGTCTTCTCCTCAAGCAGAGTCCAAAACTCGTCCTTTGATTGTTCAGCGCATCCCGTTTGCGGAGCATATGCAGAAAAGAAGTGGTACAGTCGTTGCTCGACAGCAAGAACAATCTTCATCAAACGGTCGTCGAAACGTTCCACGCTAGCTATCGAGTCACGGAAACGTCATGAGACGATTGTGGTCACATGTGGTCCTTCGCCTGCCGCACAGGACGCTTTTAAGCCGCGACGAATGTCGCTCGACTTGCAAATGGACTATCTCGTTTCCTGCACTGCACACAGGTCTATTCATCTGCGCTCCAATGCCATTCACATGAGCGCGTCGTCAACGTTCCAACATTCAACATTGCCACGCGGGCCTTTTCGACGTTACAGGACTTCTGGACTAGCCTGGTTGCCCCCCCCCCCGATGCCGTCCTTGCATCAGGGACCCTCGCATACTTTCCACACTCGCCGGGCCATACGAGTGCGCGTCGGCTCCCGCGGACGCCGTAGCATTATCTCGATATGTGACATGGGTGTTCCTAGGTCGGCCCGTCACGAAGGCCTGTCACCTGCTTTCAAATGTCCGCGTTCGGCTCAGCCCACAGAAACAGGTAGTTCCCAGTGGCGCCACGTGGAGGAGCGGACTTCACCATCCCTTTTTAGCTAGTGTGGACGTGCGAAATAACGAAAAAGCAAAAAAGTCACAAGAGCAGAAGTTACAAAACAAACATAGTCACGTCGCAGAGGCCTGTCACCTGCGATCGTGCGTCTGCATTTTGCAACTCGCAGAGCGAGCAGTACCCGGTGGCACCACGTGGAAGAGCAAACCTCATCACCGCTCACCCTGATCAGGCATTCGACCGGAATAAATGGCGCACAAAATCAGGAGAGCGGAGCCTGCTACAGAGCGGGGCAAACGTTGAAGAATAAGAAGAAGACGCGGCACGTGGGCACTTTTCAAAGAATCTCGCAAATTTCGACTTTTCGCAACTTTTTCACCGTCGTTGCTTTTACTATCTTCACACAACGGGGGACGCTTGTTTACACACCAGCGCGCTAGGCTCCACCCCCTTAGTCATGCTTACTTTTGCTTCTCTGCGAAACTTCGATTCTTTCAAAATTTTTGCAATTTTATAAGCAGGATACAGTCCCAGCTTCCATGCTATGGACTCGCTCGTCACTCGGAACAGTCTTTGCTTGGGTTTTTGTTTTTTGGACTTCACCCTGCCAATTTGCAACATTTCGCAAAAGTGGGCGGAGCTCTCACAGTGGGCGGCCTTCACGTAGCAATACAAAAATGTGAAATTCTTAAAGACACATGGTACGCTCAAACACATTGAGGGTGTATGAGACTATCAGCCCCCCAGCTGTCGATGTGTCGTGGTCCCCCCGCCCAAAACTGCACGGGGTCAGAGTACGGGGCCGTGGGAAAGTCGTAATTCCTTGCTACACCGCCCTCACGTTTATGCTAACACCATCCGCGCGGCGCGGTCGCGTGCAGCTCTGGCTTTTTGCCAAGTCCTGTTCAGTTGCGTTTGAAATATCAAGTAACAGACGCAATTTCTTTCCTGCGGACAACATTTTAGTGTCGTAAATAAGACGAGATGATGACAAGGGCTAGAACCTCAAGAGCAAGCTGTTGCTGCCTGTCTGCCCAATTTCCTAACCTTTGAGCCCCCCTCGTATTGCTCATGCTTCAAAGTCCGAATAGAAGGTGATGAAGATGACAAAGGCTAGAAATGAACAACAACGAATGTAGATGTAAATAAAACAAAATTGAAAAAACTAAGGAAACGCAAACTAATTAAAATCGCGTGTGATTTTTTGGACCTCTGAATCCGGCTCTAATGCTATAGAAATACTTCAAACAAACGAGTGGGACGCTTAGGCTGCGTTTATACTTTGCGGCAGCGTAGCGTAGCGTAGCGTAGCGCTTCCAGCGTACGCCAGCGGCAGTGCCGAAGAGAGGATGCATATCGATCTAGCTTCACCAGCGTCACCAGCGGCACGCTGGCGTACGCTAGCGGCACGCTAGCGTACGCCCAGCGTACGCCCAGCGTGTTTCTCTCAGCGTTTCACCCAGGCGTTTGTCTATGCGTTTGCAGCCAGGGGAGTAGAGACTAATGGAAAGCTGGACAGGTACAAACACCATCGATTCGCCGTCTCTCGCCCTTAGTCTCTACAATGCACATCGCTTCTGCGTCTCCGACGGCCACATAGTCTCTACAATGCACATCGCTTCTGCGTCTCCGACGGCCACATGGTCTCTACAATACACGTCGATTCCGCGTCTCTCACGGCCACATAGTCTCTACTCCCTGCCGCTGCAAGCGCTAGCAAAACGCTGGTGCCGCTGGAGAAACGCTCGAGAAACGCTGGTGAAGCTAGATCGATAGCTATGCTTCCCGTGCCCTCGCTACGCCAGCGTGCCGCTGGTGACGCTGGTGAAGCTAGATCGATATGCATCCTCTCTTCGGCACTGCCGCTGGCGTACGCTGGAAGCGCTACGCTACGCTGCCGCAAAGTATAAACGCAGCCTTAGGCCGTTTTTATTTTGATGTTTTGTGGGAATGCGCGGCCTGCGAGGGCTATTGCAGAAGCAGCACAGTTGCTCTTGAGTTCTAGCCCTCGTCATCATCTTCAGTTCTTATTTTGCAGAACCTAAAATGTTATCCGCATAAAGAAATTGCGTTGTACTTGTATTCCAAAGCGCAATTACAGGACTTGGCAAAAAGCCAAGAGAGCTGCACGCGACCGCGCCGCGCGGACGGTGTTAGTAAAAACGTGAGTTTGCAAAAACGGGCGGCGTAGCAAGGAATTACGACTTTCCCACGGTCCCGTACTCTGACCCCGTGCAGTTTTGGGGAAACCACGACACATCGACAGCTGGGGGGCTGATAGTCTCATACACCCTCAATGTGTTTGAGCGTACCATGTGTCTTTAAACAATATCAAAATTTTTGCAAAGAGCCACAATGGTGGGCGTGGCTGAGGGGCGGAGCCTAAGTTGCCAGTGTATAAATGCGCGTCTGCGAGTATTTCCGTTGTGTGAGGAGTGGGAGTAGAAACAACGACTATGAGAAAGTTGCGAAAAGTCAAAATTTGCTACAATTTCTTTGAAATGTGGGCCGAGTGGCTATGTGCCGATGTGCACACCCACACCCGAGCATGGGTAACTAATCTAGTGAGAGATGGGAAACTAAGTCTTGAATTCGGTTTGTTAAGCCGGGAATTTGGTTTGAAACGTCGTGACTTTGGTTTGAAAAACTGTTAATTTGGCTTGAGAGATCGTGAATTCAAAGTGAAAACGCTGTCGGAAGCTCTCGTCTTTGTGTCCTATGTTTCATAAAAATGTAATGCTTCTGCTTCGTTCGCCATGTTGGAAGCCAAAGAAGTTGAAACTGCTCCCTGGCCGATATGCTATCAGCTCTGTAAAATAAATGGTCATGATTGCTCCTTGTGAAGATGGACGTTCATGTCTATATGCTGAACTACTGAACAAAATTCTGTTTCTAAGGGTCACAGTCATTTCCCTCCATGGCACCGCTGAAGCGCAAATGGGCAATGTGTTTTGATCATATGAGCAAACTTTCACCTAATGGTTCCAGAAATTGTTGAAAAGGTCCACCTTGTTGGACAAGTTGCTCTTTCCGCAACCTTCGTAAATCAAGATAAAAGGATAAAGGATAGGGCCTCGCCGTTGATCAATCCCTTTGTGGGATGCGGCACGCATTCTACTTCCATTCAGAATCGTAGTGGCTTATTGAATGCGATGTGGCCTATACAATGACTTGGGGGGGGCCAGCCGATGTACAAGTCAGTGTTTTATCCTCCCAGACGAATCTGGTACCAATTTACCGTCCCTACAGGGTAGAAGGCTTGGTTGGCCTGGGCGGAAGTCGACCCGGGACAGACCTAGATAGCTTCTGAAAATCTGTTATGCAGCTGTTCAGGAGAAGAAAAATCTTCTCAAGCAATCAAGTTAGATAATACAGTTCTTCCCAATCACAAGCCTTGGTGCTGCAGTACAGTAATAGTAATTCCGGGTAACTGAGTTCGCGCTCAAATTAAATTTGTCAAGCGTGCAAACACAACACACAATGTGTACAAAGGTCAGCGTCAGATTGCGCCCAACAGTTTAACGCGGCTCTATCCAATTGTTTATGGCATCCAACAACGGTCATCCCAGTGGCTCGCAAAAAAACCTTGCATAATTTCCCCGGATCGAAGTAGCCCCAGGAAGGCGGTGGTGCTTACTGAGTAGTCTTTAGGTTTATTTTTTTACCATATCTTCTGTGAATCTTTAACCATGCACCCGATATTGGTCAATAGATGATCTCTCCATCACGAGAACGCACGCTCCAGCTTTGTCTTATCCACCATCTTCGAGAACCTCTCCCCCACTGACCAACACTTTTTCAAGCATCGGGAAACCTTCTTGCGCGAAAATGCTCCGTCAACCTAAACCTCTTGCAAGCTATCCCATCGCATACATTATTTCTAGATGCTCAGAATACTCCGTCACATGAATAGATAGTTGTTTCTGGACAACGTGGTAGAGTGTGCCGAATAATAATTCAGTCTACAAAGGACTTTGAGCTCCAAAAGCTGGCTGGAAACTCTTGTGATCCCATTTCTCGAAACCGTCAAGAAGACCCAAAACACGCCGGAGGTTAGAATGAAAAAAAAACATGTTTCAAGTGTTACAATAATTTTTCAGATTAGCTCAGTAACTCTGTCCCACCTATCAGAATCACCACTCAAAAACATTCCCGCATCTGTCAGAATTAGGAGGTTTGATAAATTTGCATCCAACTCGTTAGACGAAGAGCTTTCGACGAGCAGAAGCCAATCATAATTTAACCTCAGATACGTTTGAAACATGCTCCCCACAGAGTGTTAACTCTTTACAGGTTGTCGTGAAATCCAACTTCAAACCGTCACTGTTGGCCCAGAAGATTGAGGTTCGGATTCCTACACCACCAAACACGTCAGGAGTTCAGTTGATTTGTATGAAAGGCAAAGCGAAGTATAAAGCAGGCGAAAACGCTATAGTTTGGAAGTGAGAAGTTGTTTAATCACTTGACTACATCGTCCAGAATTGTCGTAAGTAATACAACAGGATCAAACGAATGGGAGGGATGAAAGAAAGTCAAATTTCTGCTGAAATCGATCTCTTGCCTACGGGTTCCGAGAAGAAGAAGTGGAATCGTCCTCCTGTCAGCATGAGTTTTGAGGTTCTGTATTGCTCTTCATCTCATTTTCCACCAATATAAATGAGATGCGACAATCAGCTGATGTTTTCAGGTGCCATTCGCTCCTTCTGGCTTGAAAGTGCGCTATCTGAAGGTGTTTGAGCCAAAATTAAATTATTCAGATCATGACGTAATTAAATGGGTGCGATATATCGGTCGTAGTGGTCTCTATGAAACACGATGCTAAACTTACTTCGTGCATGAGTATTTCTTCGTTTTGTATTCGTTTTACAGTATCTACTGGCTTTTTTTCGAGCACTGTGCGGTTGCACCGACTCTTCGATCAGTAGGACTTGTTCTTCTCTCACAGCTCTGCTCGACGAATGTGTGAACATAAATAATAAACTCACGATAAACGTTCTCCTGTCCCAATGATGTTGACTCACACTCAAGCTTCAAAAGCACAACGCACGCTTAGCTGCGAGGCGCAACCTTGGCACCTGTCCGGGGCTAACGAGCCCCCAGCAGTTGAAGCATAGCGGTTTCCTCGCCAAACATGCGCTGGGATGGAGATACAGGATCGTAGGATAGCCTGATCCCTCCATACTCTGCCTAACATGCCACTTGCTGCGCAGGTGCGTTGCACTCCGTGAGCATGTCCCAATCCTATCTATAATCTATCAGCCGTCTGCGCGGCGCTCCTACCACTTCTCCAATTCTTGTGGTTTGCACTTCCGAACAGGATTAAAGCGCGAAGTCCTGATGCGGATGACAAATGGGGCGTTGCTCATTGCTGCGAAGTGTCAATCGGATGGTGACGAGGCTAAAGTTGGAGAGCAACTAATATAGCTGTAAGTAGGATGTAAATAAAAAGTGAAAATAAATGTAAATTGGTTGGAAATCCGTGTAAATTTTTGCATTCGGAGCGATTCCGGCTTCAAACCTAGAAAGGCCTCGAATAAAGTAGGACACCTAGGCCGTTTCTAGTCTCATGTTTTGTGAGAATGCGCGGCTTTCGAGGAATATTGCAGGAACAGTATGGTTGTTCTTCATTTCTAGCACTCTTCATCATCTGTACACACCTCGCTGCTAAGCATGCGTTGTGTCTCACGCACACAGACACAACGCGCGCTTACAATTTCCGATTAGGTGCTTTTTTGAGGCGTTCTTAGACAACGTTCTTTTTACAAAAACTGGTCGACTGAACCCAAGTGAGCTTTCAAATTAAGGCATTCTACCGATAAAGTCTACTCCAAAGAAGCGCATTTGATTGGAAATCCAAATCCTTACAATAACTGCCTCGTCACTCTCGTTTTTACTTCGCCAGGCAGCGCTGTTGAACAGGATCCTTTAAAAGCGGTCGCGTTTTGGTGGAGTTCCTAGCGATAGAGCGGTTGTATTGCGTCATCTCCATAAACTAGTGAAGACAATTTTGGAGATTTGTTTCTTGTGTTGAACCTGCAGCACCTCCGATGATCCAGTGTTACCAAGTTCCCCACAATTTCCCATAACGCTTCGATTGGCTATCCAGCAGCGTCGCTGCCGATAAGAGGCGGGCATTATCTGTTCAGTGACCTGCAGAAGAAAGGGAATTATGTGTTGGGGAGGGGAGTGTACGAGAAAAAAACGCATTGGGAAGTCCTGTCATCTAATAACTCAGTCCTTGCGGAAGACTACTGTCAGCGGCTTGTTCGCGTCGCCGGCAACCCTTTAGAAGAACTAACTGCTGTACTGCTTTTCCTGATAATGTTCGACACCACTTCTTCTTCTTCTTCTTCTTCTTCGTCTTCGTCTTCGTCTTCGTCTTCGTCTTCGTCTTCGTCTTCTTCTTCTTCTTCTTCTCTTCTCTTCTTCTCTTCTCTTCTTCTTTCTTCTTCTCTCCTTTTCTCTCTCTCTTCTTTCTTCTCTTCTTCTTCTTCTTCTTCTTCTTCTTCTTTTCTTCTTCTTCTTCTTCTTCTTCTTCTTCTTCTTCTTCTTCTTCTTCTTCTTCTTCTTCTTCTTCTTCTTCTTCTTCTTCTTCTTCTTCTTCTTCTTCTTCTTCTTCTTCTTCTTCTTCTTCTTCTTCTTCTTCTTCTTCTTCTTCTTCTTCTTCTTCTTCTTCTTCTTCTTCTTCTTCTTCTTCTTCTTCTTCTTCTTCTTCTTCTTCTTCTTCTTCTTCTTCTTCTTCTTCTTCTTCTTCTTCTTCTTCTTCTTCTTCTTCTTCTTCTTCTTCTTCTTCTTCTTCTTCTTCTTCAGCGTTTGTCCCGCTTGATGGCGGGGTCCGCTCTTTTGATATAACTACGCCACTTTTCCCGATTGAATGCCTGATCGGGGTGAATGCCGGCTATTTTCAAGTCGGTATGCAGCGTGTCGAGCCAGCGCTGTTTGGACGCCCCTTTGGCCGCTTTCCTGGTACCTCGAGTTCGAGAGCAGTTTTACGGACGGTGTCAGCCTTCGCGCGAAGTACGTGCCCGTACCATCGAAGGCGCGTTTCACGCAATTTCTCTGCTATGGGGGCTACACCGTACTTATTCACAGAACTTTATTCAGCAATTCGAGATTGTTATAAGTCCTTTACCAGACTGACGTTTCGGCAGTATTGCCTTCTTCGGAGCCTGCAAATCAAAACCTATTTTCGAAACAATTCGCCCTAGTCCCATTTCAGATAGCATAGTGAAGCTCAAGGTAAAGCAGTCTATGAAAACATCGTGAAGAGGGCTAACCTTTTGAGGAGATGGCGTTCGTAGTCGGCACCCTGAGCTTGAGGATCTGGTAGTGAGACTTTTATATGTATTTGGAACGCGTAATTAGGGTCAACCTGCTTTGGGAAGATTTTGAATTTGAATTCAATAGGGCCGGGTCAAAGCGCCGTAAGGGACCCCCCACACATAATTGATGGCGTAGGTCAATACTGTTGTAAGGCCACCCAAAGGTGAGAGTCCCCGCTGATCGCTGCGCCTCGTCCTCAGTATCGATTTTCAAGATGACCGACTTTGCCAAACACCTTGTGCAATTTGTCCTTTCGGAAAGGAAGGTGATTGCATGATCTCGGGTGTGGTTTACCTCATTACGTGTAAAGTATGCGGGGAGGAATATGTGGGGGAGACAGGCAGACCACTATGCGTTAGGATTAAGGAACACCTAGGTGGTCTGAAAAAATCAAAGCTGTCCACCCCTCTCGGTGAACATAAGGCTAAGTACCATGGAGATGTGGATATGGAAGTGGAGGTTACGGTATTGGCTCGCGAACAAGAAATCTCAGCGCGTAGAACGCTCGAAGCACTGTGGATTGCAGCAAGAGAGCCTAAGATCAACAGGAAAGAAGAGTGCGTAGCGATAACGAGAGAGCTGGCACCTTCGTAGAGCTCTGCGGGTTTTGATCTACGCGGTCAATCCCCGCGGCGGCGCGGGGGTCGGGGGTTGAGGCTCGGACCTTGAAAATCGATACTGAGGGCGAGGCGCAGCGATCAGCGGGGACTCTCACCTTTGGGTGGCCTTACAACAGTATTGACCTACGCCATCAATTATGTGTGGGGGGTCCCTTACGGCGCTTTGACCCGGCCCTATTGAATTCAAATTCAAAATCTTCCCAAAGCAGGTTGACCCTAATTACGCGTTCCAAATACATATAAAAGTCTCACTACCAGATCCTCAAGCTCAGGGTGCCGACTACGAACGCCATCTCCTCAAAAGGTTAGCCCTCTTCACGATGTTTTCATAGACTGCTTTACCTTGAGCTTCACTATGCTATCTGAAATGGGACTAGGGCGAATTGTTTCGAAAATAGGTTTTGATTTGCAGGCTCCGAAGAAGGCAATACTGCCGAAACGTCAGTCTGGTAAAGGACTTATAACAATCTCGGATTGCTGAATAAAGTTCTGTGAATATTGCTGTCATCATGCCGAGATTAATGGAGAGTCGATCATGGAATGTTTAAAATACACCATACTTCTTGCGCACGACATCGTTACAAATGCGGTCGCGTGACGCCCGCCGTCCAGCGCAACATCTTCATCTCCATCACACCAAGGCGAGCCTCAACTTCTTTGGTCGCGGGCCAGCACTCGGCACCATATAACGCGACAGGTCGGACGACAGTACGATAGATCTTTGACTTGAAACGCTCTGGCATTTTCTTGTCGCAAAGGATCCCAGACATGGATCGCCATTTAGACCATGCCGCACTCACTCGTGCGCTCACTTCCGAGTTCAGACCATCGGACGCAAGTGCTGATCCGAGATACTTGAATGTTTCCGTGCGCTTGAGCACCGTGTCATCGATCTTAATGGAGCCCGGCTCATTTGGGTCGGTTGTCAGGTACTCGGTCTTGTTGACGTTCAACCTGAGTCCAAACTTCGTTAGACGCGGCACACGATCGAATGCCTTTTCCAGGTCTAGGAAGGCTACATGCACGGGCTTTCGCTTCTCACGGTGTTTCTCCAGCAATAGGCGAGCGGCATGTATGGCGTCGACGGTGCTACAACCCGCCACGAAGCCACACTGATTGGTGGAAAGCTGGACGATATCACGAACGCGGGCGTCAACAATTCGCTCAAAGATTTTCATAGTGTGCGAGAGAAGGCGAATTGGACGGTAGTTCGAGCAATCTGCCGGGCTGCCCTTCTTCAAATCGGGATCGTCACGCTCTGCTGCCAGTCCTTGGGCACCTTCTTCTCTTCGACGATCTGGTTGAAGAGTTTCGTCAAC